ATTCTGTGTTGTTGTTGGCAGAGCTCCTTTACTGCACTTCCACCCGATCCTCCATCTTGTTTGTTCTCTCTTTATTCTTTCTTGATGTGTGCATTTATTGCTATAAATTTCCATTTGACCACAGCTTTTGCTGCATCCCAAAAGTTTTGCTAAGTTTTGTTTTGATTCTCGTTTGATTTTAGAAAGTTTTTAATTCAAAAAAAAATTTTTCTATTTGCCAGTAGTATTAAAGCAGGGTATGGGTTTTCTTTTAGTCCAAAGAAATGGACTATATTATGTAATCCTAACCTTGGAGTTTGTTCTGTCTTTTGATTTTCTTCTTAAAGTAAGCAAACACTTGCAGAAACACTTGTGTCAGTCTGATTGCAAGACCACTGGGGACTTACTAAACACAACAACAGCACAATGGAACTACCTTAGCTAAAAATTCCTTTGAAAATGGAAGATCAGGATAATATGCCAATCTAGTTTTTTGTTTTTTTAATCATAGAAAAAAAAATGACACTAAAACCCCGAAGCAAGGAATATCTTTTTGGGAAATGGAGTTAGAAGAGCTTATTAGGCCAAGAAATAGGATGCTGTTATCTCTCAGTAGGTAGTATATATCGTTTTTACAAGCTATCTAAAGAGTCCATTTATACCAAATCACAGATTTGATAAAGTGAAAAGAGAAAAGAGAAGGGCAGGGGAAAGAGTAAGGAGGAAGAAAACAGATGTAAGTAAAATTGAATGGAAGAGAGAGGAAGGAAAAAACACTCTAAAATCAACCTTTATATAATGCTGCTGCTGTTGTGCCATTGAGTCAGTTCCAACTTATAACAACCGTGTATAGGGTTTCTGAGTCTAATTCTTTACATGAGCAGAAAGCATCATTTTTCTCATGAGGACTGGTAAATTCGAACTACTGAACTTGCATTTAGCAGCCCAGCTCATAATCCACTATGCTGCCAGGCTTCCTTTATATATTGCTAGAGGAGCAAATATATTTTTCATGGGTCGTTGCTGAAAAACGATTTCTATTTCTTTTATGTTCTTTGGAAGCTACAATACATAAAGAAAATCACATGCGACTGAATAAAATAAGGGGCAACCAGTGCTGATAGAATACAATACAAAAACTCTATTCCCTTGATAATTTCTTCTACTTTTAGAAAAGACATGTCAGAGAATATCTATAGTAATTTAATAAAATCAGGAGCTTAACTTACCCTTCTTCTTGTTTTTAACTGGACCTATTAAAAAAAGAAAATAGAAAATTAAGTCACTGGAAATTAATAGAAAATCTTTATTTTTTAACACAGTCAATAGGCAGGCACCCTAAGACATTATTAATTTGAGAAAGCCTTATAGCCAAGAGTCAGGCTTTTGGCAAGTTATCTCCCAACTATCAAACCTCCTCAGTCTGTTTTCTAATTGTTGAGTCTAAGAAAATTTCTCTTTGGGGAGAAAAATCTTTTAGCCTTAGTTTTTGGAGTGAGGGAGAGAGTACTTCTCCACAGAGAAGAAATACCCCCAAATGCAGAACTCAACTACTATAGGTTTGCATTCCATTAATTTTGCAAGTCCTGAGGCTGAAGAGTGATGCATTCAAATGAGGAGCTGGTATGAAGTCTCATGTGTGGAAACTGGAAAGAAAAAGGGATAGTTTTAATGGAAGAAGCCAATGAGAAAGTGTACTTTTAATTCACTTTCTTATCATGGTTTAACTTGTTATTAAAAGAGTGCACCATAATACATTCATGTGGAGACCACATAAACTTCCATTGTAATTTAGCATAAGTTAATGGGCACTTAGAAGTGTCAACAGTTCCATCAACAGTGTTAAGACAAGCTTTTTTTTTTTTTTTTT